CGGTTGAGCTGCGGCGCGGCCTCTCAGGGCGGGCAGCGTGTGAGGAGGTGGGGGAAACGCTGCCGTGGGGTTGCAGCGTGGAGGCCGTTTTACCTCGCTTTTCTGCTAAAGCATGCAGAGAGGCTCTCTCCTCATCCCCTGTTTTTAAAGTAATTTCAGTTGAACAAAATCGAAAAAAATTCAGTTTGAACAAAACGGTCGTTGAGTTAATGGCAGGGGTAGAGCAGGGGAGTGCCTTGAGGTACAAGGATTGAAGGGAGCTCAGCAGCTTTGCATTAGGTTTTCTTTCCTAGTCTTCTCCAGAATGTCACTATAAACAGCTAGAGTCCATAGCAGGGGTTGCCATTATCATCTGGTAGTTTCACATAACTGTATTTAGGACTCGGCCATCTTTTTCAGTATGGTTCTGCTAGAAAGTGTAGCATTGTTCAGAGGACAGTACACTGGGAGAATATCATTGCAATGTTGCTAGCGTGAGTTAAGGGTGCTCTGGATTGTCAGATGTGATCTAGCATCAGGAAAAAACCTCTGAACAGCTTGTGCTGTAAAAGGTTAGTTCTCAGTGCAAATAGAGAAGCTGTTGAGATGTTTTTCATTATGTTTAGTAACAATTATAATAATCAAAGTTCTTAAACTGGATTTTACAAAGCCAAAGTCATTCAGATCAGCCCGATTAAAATAAAACACAGGAATGGATTCTGGTTTGTTGATCTTGAAAATCCATGAAAGAAAAATTACTACTTTAAAAAGTATTTTCTGGAAAGGATTCCTTTTCCTGCAACATTTTAGAGCAGATTGTTTAGAAGTTATGTTCCTGAATTAGGTTAGACTTCCATTAACTATATGTTTGTAAAGTTTCACCCTATTTCAATCGGAAGAACATGAGCTTTTCTCAGTGTAGAGGGAGCAGAAGATCAGAGACTTCTCTTGTCCTTCAGTGTTAACTCTGCTCTTGTCCTTTTGCTGTGAGTTGTTTTGTCTTGTCCTTCACCATAGCTTGGAATACTGATTTTGGTTAGGGGTCATGACGTTAATTTATTTTATGTACAGCTTCTGAATGCCTTCCTCAAATCCTTTGTTTATCCACAGAATCTGCTGGTGATGCTGTTCTGCAACATTGGTGTAAGAAAGGTTGTGGTGCCATGGAGGCACTATATTCCCAGTCCTCCCTGGTGACTGAATCCCCTTCAGCTCTGTAAGAAGAGAAAATCTGGATACCAGTGCTGATCATTGTCAGTATTTTTAGCAGCTTTGTATTTCTTAAATCACTGATCTTTTTCCTCCAATGGTGTGGCTCATTTGTTGATTTGGTAAATTGCGATATGTTTATGTGTGTGTGAGATTTAGATTAAATACACTAAATGCAAGTGAAAATGGCCTCTCAGTTTTAAAATGTTTCTGTTTGGTTGCCTTGGTCCCTCCTGTACTTTGGATTCACTGAGATTGTTGAATTGATTTTTTTTTTTTTTTTTTTGTAGCTTAGTTTGTGAAAGAGCTTTGGCAGGTAAGCAGTGCGTCAGCCTGTGTACACACAACATTTTTACATGCTTAGGATGTGTTGAAGTAGAACTAGGAGAATACGGAGAAAGCAAGTTAGTGTTTGAAATTCTTACCAGCTGGCAGGGTTTTCCTTTTTGTTTTCAGAACTATTATTTTAAGGCAGGAACATACCATAAAAAGGGTCTAGATCTCTCTAGTTTTATAGGGCGAAAAGTAGCATGATAAATAGAATTATGCATATGGTGATAAATAAATACTGTAATGTCACCTTCTTTGGTGAATCAGCTGCAAATCTGGATTCTTTGGGGGGAAGTGGGTGGTTCAGTATGGTTGAGATCACAGGATTGCCTGAAGTGATTTAAAAGCAATTACTCACAAAAGAGAATAAAACATTAATTCTAAGTAGTGGACTAGCAATTTTGTTCAGCGTTATTCTTAGCATGGGGTTGTAAAACACAACTGTAGTTTTTTTATTATATACTTACGTGTTGTTTAAAATTACTTCCCCACATTGATGTGCCCTTTAACATTTTTAGTCTGCTGCAGGAATGGGAGAGGCTTGTCTCCTGGATGTTAAGAGGTCCAAGCCTGTTCCAGCATTATCAAAATATGACCATTAGAATGTGAGAGCCTTCTTTTGTCCTGAAATTTGGAAATTTAAATCCTAATGAAATAAATAGCAAAATCTTTTAGCATCCTAAATTACAGTCTAGCATACTAAATGCTGTCTAAACTAATGAGTTGATTAACAATACGAAAGAGCTGTGTGATTTCTTATTCCTTGTCTTTAGCATTTGGTATGTTAGAAAGCAAGATTAGTAATGACTAGAAAGACATTTATATAATTCAGAATGTCTCATTGGTCGTATGCACATCCTGACTCTACAGCTGAGATGAAATCAAGTTGAAATTCTGAAAAAAATCCCTCCAGAGTTTCTTTATAATTGCACTGTGCTTAATATTAGCACTGTAACCATTCCGTGCTCCATTAGTTCCTTGTCTGCTGGGTTAACCCGCTCTTTGTATTCATATATGCAAACTATCTTTGAAGAAAATGGAACTATTTTCTTATATAGGTTTAGGGGACCATTGGGTTTATTAAGGAGCAGTTTCTGATCAAAGGAATCTGTATAGCCACTAAAACCAGTTTGTTCTTTTAAAACTAGGGCCCTATGTATAGTTAAATCACTCCAACTCCGCCTTCCCAATCTGTTAAGAGAAGGGAAGGAAGGGAGCTGTTGCAAGCCTGTTGCTATGGCCACGCAGCAGCAGGCTGAGCTGTTTGTGTGGCTGGGATCCTGCTGCATCAGCTGCTGCACGGTGAGTCCTTCCTTACACTTTGCTACATGATGAATGTTCTTATTAGAAACAATCTTTCGAATGCCAGTAAGAAATTGGTACTCTATTAAGGGTCCCCTCCCCCAACAGCCCACAAGGTTTCATTGCATAACCAAATTGATATGTCTCAAGTGGGATATCTAAAGTCATTTGTGATTTTCATGTGAACATTATTCTCTTTCCAAGGCAGACTACCTACTGATTTCATTCTTTCTGAGCTGATCTTGGATGAAAGTTTAGTGTTGTGCCAAGAAACAGGGCATCTTCATCTTTCGTCCTCTCTTCTTCTGACCAAATGAAATCTGGTATCCCCTAACGTATTAATGTGCTTAGTGCAGAGGCATTTCAAACAATGAACAAGATTTTTAAATTAAACCCTGCAAAATCCTTTGAGGACTAAACTGCAAGCACTTATGTTGAATTAAGTGAACGGTTCTCTGCCCCCCCATTGAATTAGAGTTGGTGCCTTGTAGTTTCAGAAAGCCACTGTTTGCTACTACAGCTATATGCACTGAAGTGGTCCCTTTTACATAAGAAACAGGTTTTTCTTTAACACAAATAAAGTCAAAGAACTTCCAGTTGTACTGAGGGGAAAAAAAGATTATGAGTCTGTAAGAACTGGTTTGTTTTGTGGCTTTTTTTTGTTTGGGTTTTTTTGTTTTTGTTTTTGGTTTGGTTTTTTTTTTTTTAATCGTGTTTTCCCTGTATTGAAGCAATTCCTGAATACTATGTTTCTCTTTATGTATTTCCTGTCTGGTAGAATTTAATTGAATTTGGAGGATGAAGTCCAACCTAATGCATTTCGTTCCCCCAGTGAGTAGGGACAGAATAATCTCCCAGTTTCCCAAGGTAAGCATTCTTTATCCCTCTGGTCACAGTATGTAGCACCTGACACATTGAGCTATCTTTCCCTTGTGCTAATAGTATTTTAATTTAATGTACAGTTGTTGTCTTCTGCTAAAATTACACATTGTTTAAGGATTTCGTTCAAAGATGAATGTGACCTCATGTTCCCATTCATTGCTGTTATCTTTAATAAGATAAGATTTCTTCTTTTAACCTTTACAGAAAATTACTCTTGCCACAAGAGTGTTATCTTATAATATCTATCTTGTTATTCCAGCCAAACATGAATAATTACATGCTTAAAGAGTTCCTACACCAAGGAGATATAAGAACCACAGCTGATATTAAACATGCAAAAAGTCTAATTAGATCTATATGGATGTTTTGGTTGAAGAATTTGAGGCAATTTTCATTTTCTGGTTGTATAGGAACCTTAGTCATACAGTAGATCAAATATAGTAGACACTGTAGAAACACAGACAGAAAAGATCATTCATGTCCCCAAAGAGTTTTGTGCTTGAAGTATAATAGAAGAGTTAAGGACAGGGAAGGACAAGGAATTACCATTCTGTTTTTGCAGTTGTTCAAAAGATCCTTTTGGGGAGTTAGCATTTTTTCCCATGCTTGATCTCAGCCTTTGCTTTTAATTTTATGAAAACTACCACAGTTGTTTTAAGCAAATATAAGGTAAAATACATTTTCCTCATTTTTAACTAATGCCTAATTAAAAACTAGTAATAAAACCAGTGTTTCACACATATAAGAGATCTAAAAGTCTTTGTAGTAATAATGACTTGCTGGTGGTATGCTCCCATCTGTGTTTGTCTTGTGTGGCTTAGATTACTGGCATAATTTAAGGTACTTGCTATTGTATGGAAGGATGAGCAAATGTATTTGACTGTAGAAGTTTAGCTAGTGCTCGGATGCTGACACTCAGAAAGGTGGTCAAATTATGGCACTGTTCAAAGGAGTTGTTACAAACATAACTGTGGGGAAGACTTACTGCCTTCTAACTGAAGCTATCCCTTTTCTTATGCCAGGGTATCCATGTGCTTGACAAACTCTTTGAATTAATCTTCTTATCTATTTTTTCCCTTGCTGATTTGACTTCTTGCAAAGACAATTTATCCCAGTAGCTGTTCTCTCCTGTTTTCAGTGGTACACGCCTGAGGCCTGTCTGCAGTTCAAAGAGCACTTCCATGCGCAGGTCAGGACTGCTTGTCAGCAGAGCGCCGGAACAGTTGGGTAAGTTTGTAATAAACCAGGTATGCAATGAAGAAAGTATTTTAAGCTCTTTATAGCCTGCTTCATTCATAGGCTTTTCCCCCCCTCATTCCTCATCTTCCTCACTCCGGTATGTTTCAAGGTAACTAAGCCCATGTATGTGGCAGTTCTCTGATCTGTTTGACAGTAAATTAATAAAGTGCCTCTTCCCACAAGTGTCACAGACACTTCTGCTGCTGGCATACGTAGTGTTGAAAAAATAGTGGAGTTGTTTAGCAACAAATAGTTTTTTAGCAACTTTGAACTAAACTCTTAGTTCAAAAGATTAATTGACTGTTTAAAATGAGTGTTGAATTTTGCACATGCAAGTCAGTATGGCAACCAAATTCTAGAGCAGTTATAAAGAATAGGACAGATCTAGCCTTGCTGTATTCTCTGTTGGTGTTCCAAATGAGCAGTTAATAAAGGCTTTGGGGGGATATAAACATAAAGCAGTTCTAAGTTACCTGAAACACAAAAGAATCTAGCTTTAGTCTTTTAGAAGTATACATGCTGAGAAGTTGTCTTAAATGTTTCCTTAAAACTGGAGCAAAATTCTGGTGAATATATAGCATTGAAGAATCCAAATGAATTGTTTAATGCCCTTGTAATATCCTTTAAGTTGTTTTTTTCACATAATCTGTCTCGCAGAACTGTTACTTGTACTTTGACACCTTTACTACAGTATTCTCCTGGAGAAACTGGCTGCTCATGGCTTGGACGGGCTTACTCTTTGCTGGGTAAAAAACCAGCTGGATGGCCAGGCCCAAAGAGTTGTGGTGAATGGAGTTAAATCCAGTTAGCGGCTGGTCACAAGTGGTGTTCCTCAGGGCTCAGTATTGGGGCCGGTTCTGTTCAATATCTTTATCAATGATCTGGATGAGGGGATTGAGTGTGCCCTCAGTAAGTTTGCAGATGACACCAGGCTGGGTGGGGATGTTGATCTGTGTGAGGGTAGGAAGGCTCTACAGAGGGATCTGGACAAGCTGGATTGAAGGGCTGAGGCCAACTGTGTGAGGTTCAACGAGGCTCAGTGCTGGGTCCTGTACTTGGGTCACAACAACCCCATGCGATGCTACAGGCTTGGGGAAGAGTGGCTGGAAAGCTGCCTGGTGGCAAAGGACCTGGGGGTGTTGGTCGACAGCCGGCTGAACACGAGGTGGCAGTGTGCCCAGGTGGCCAAGAAGACCAACAGCATCCTGGCTTGTATCAGGAATAGTGTGGCCAGCAGCAGCAGGGACGGGGTCATGGCCCCGCACCCCGCTGGAATACTGTGTCCAGTTTTGGGCTCCTCAGTACAAGAAGGACACTGAGGTGCTGGAGTGTGTCCAGAGAAGGGCAATGAGGCTGGTGAAGGGTCTAGAGAGGAAGGTTTATGAGGAGCAGCTGAGGGAACTGGGGTGATTTAGCCTGGAGAGGAGGAGGCTGAGGGGAGATCTTATTGCTCTCTACAACTACCTGAAGGACCAATACCTATTGGTCTCTTCTTCTAAGTATTTAGCGATAGGACAAGAGGAAATGGCCTCAAGTTGCACCAGGGGAGGTTTAGATTGGATACTATGAAAAATTTCTTCACTGAAAGGGTTGTCAAGCATTGGAATAGGCTGCCCAGGGAAGTGGTTGAGTCCCCATCCCTGGAGATATTTAAAAGCTGTGTAGATGTGGTGCTTAGGGACAACATGGTTTAGTGGTGGCCTTGGCAGTACTAGGTTAATGGTTGGACTTGATCTTAAAGGTCTTTTCCAACCTAAATGATTCTAAGATTTAATTCCTGAAGCAAGGCAAGAATGCTAAACTGTGTTAGAAATCATCATTATTCAGTTAAAATAAATAGCTGTATGCTTTAATGATAAAGGCTTCTGTGTTCCACTGTGAAGGATCTTTCATAAAGTGGAGCTTCTATGAATACTGACAATTAGCTCACTATTCTTTCAGACCTAGAGTTGTTGATTACCATGAGACTTGTCATGATATCCATCTTTAAATGGAACTTTTTATTCATTTCACTAGGGAGTCTTGCTAAAAAAAATTTAAGCCAAAATATGTCTGCCTGAGAGACATCAGTGAGTTTATTGCTTTTTAGAAGTATAGTCACTGTCTTAGTTTCATATAAATTTGTTATAAGTGTCCAGACAATTTTGCTAGCAAGACATGCTTTAGTGAATTGAGGCATTTTTTCCTCTCTGTAACCAAGATCTATTTGTTTTTTTATTTCCAGACTAAACCAACTCTCCAGTTCATTTATTCTGGTAACGGAGTATAGCTAAAAAGCTTTACATTTTGGCTTTGTGAATAAAATTAAACCACTTTCCTGTCACTGCTCTCTAGATATGATTATTATTGGGTCATTTTTTGGTGGGGTGGGGGTAGGAGGGACAGACAACTGAGTGTTTTTTGTACAGTAATTGTAAAACTTGACAGGAATACCTATTATCTTCCTTTCCCATTATCCCAAGTAATGGAATATTTCTTTGTTGTTTGGAAAGGTAGTCTGAGAAACTCTGTAGCTAATGGCTGTATTAAGACTCTCTTGATATTCCATGAATGCATTAAATTGCCTAATCTACGGATTTTTTTTCCCCCAATATGAATTAATGGAACACGCACCTCTAAACCATCACTTACTTTTTTTGCTTTTCCCTGAAGGTCGTTGATTTTATTCAGTATTTTATCAGTAACAGTTAATCAGGCAGAGACATGTCAGCGGCTTAGAGGCCTGTGGCCACCCAATTAGCGTTGACTGGCACACAAAATGCCTTCTTTTTTCTGAAATATTAGTCATGCAGCTTACCAGTCAAGATTTGGACTATTTAGAATAGATAACTTGGAATCAGCATCACATGGAAGCCTGATATAACCAGAAATAGTATTCAATAGAAGATTAATTCCTTTGTTTGAAAAGCCATTCCTTGATACAAAAGAATGCTACACCTCTTAAGCCATTTTTATAGCATGTGCATGGGAGATGTCAAGTTTAGGTCAACAAATACATTTATATTTGCTTATCCACCTGTATGTCCTAAAAGATACACTACGCTTCAATTTTAAAAATGCAGGCAGAGTCACCTAAAGCCCATCTGCTGTATTCTGTGGGAGGACCCAGAGCAAAGAGGATTATTTGCATGAAGCCAGCTTCAGATTAATATTATTCCAGATAGTCAGAAAATGTATTGGCTCTAACCATGTGGGTTTTTTTTCCCCAGAGACAAATTCTGCAGTGGGTTTTTTTATTATCAGCAATTTCTTGTTTCTGCACTTAGGACTTGATTTGTATTATTAAAGTCAATGAGAAACTTGTGATTAATTTTAATGAAAATGATGCGGATACTCTATGGTCTTATATGCAAACTGCCAAATGTATATACTTGTAGTCAAAGCAATTTTAATAGAATAGAATTTATGTCCCACTGGATTATATTTAAGACAATATATGCACAGTAAGAAATGGACTATTTCCACTCCAGAGGGTTTTTTTTGGGGGGGGGACCTTCTTTTTCTTTCTTACAGTTTAAGACTCTGATCCTGCAGCACAGCAGCAGTTAGGTAAACTGGAGTCACAGGTACATGTGCTCATCACTTGTAATTTAAGGATCTAAACTGGAATTTTTAGAGAGAGAATGTTGAAATTGCTACTAAAAACATGTAATGTTTTCAAATATTTGTAACAGGCTGAAAATATCCAAAGTGGTTGTAGTAGGAGACCTGTATGTTGGGAAAACCAGCCTTATTAACAGGTACAGTATATCTCAGCAGATGGTTTGATTCTGCTCTTTCTCAAATAAATGTTATAATATTTCCATTATTCTCCATTCAGGGTAGTACTTCATGGTTCTGTTTTAACCATGGTTTTATTATTAAATAAAAGACAAAACAAATTCTACAGTATGAGACAGGCTTGATATACCAACACAGAAAGTCATGCTCTGCCACTTCAATTGGTATATGTTATATTCTGAGCTATTTTTATCCAGTCAGATATGATACAGTGTTTCATTAAGAAATCCAGTCTAAAGGCCAAACAATCAGAAGGTTAAAAAAAAAAAAAAAAAAATTCTTTCCAGTGTCTGAGTCTCGGTTTCATGTTTTCTCCTTACTTGTAGGTTGTTCACTGAAATATTTTTAAGTCATGCTTGTGTGGGTACCTGTACTCGTTTCTACAGCTGCAAGACTGTAGAGGAAGCTTGAGTTCTTCCGTAGCTTATAAAATAGTACAGATAAAATGCAGAGCGCCTTAAAGATTGGTTATTTGATTCTTTAGCAGATGTTAAAAACACCTCTTCTGCTTTTTGTATCTAAGTCCAGTGAACAGATCACTGAATTTCTGTAGCTTGTGATCACTGTGACAGCTTTCTGTCTATGTTTCTGTTTTTTTATTATTATTTCTTCCACATTCTTAAGTAGATACGGTAAGTTTTTAATCTCATTGATTAATCATTTGGGTCATTATTTATGACCCAAAATATATTCCCTTGTAACTAAAACTATAAGAGATTGTATCTTCCTTGACAGTCCAAAGCTATTTTATTCTAATTCTCATCTGATCCTGAGAGCTTACTAGATGTATATGATTTCTAGTTTGTTATCCAGTATGTCCTTTTTTAAATTAGTTTCTTGGTGTTTATATATATGCTTCTGCAATATATAGCTGCTCCACAATTAGTTAATCCTTTTCTTCATAATTTACCCTAGATAGTTGTGGTGGGTTGACCCTGGCTGGATGCCAGGTGCCCACCAAAGCTGCTCTATTACTCCCCTTCTCAACTGGACAGGGGAGAGAAAATATAATAAAAGGCTTGTGGGTCAAGATAAGGGCAGGGAGAGATCACTCAGTAATTGCAGTCACAGGCAAAACAGACTCAACTTGGGGAAATCAGTTTAATTTATTACCAGACAAGTCAGACTAGGATAATGAGAAATAAAAATGAAATCCTAAAACACCTTCCCCCCACCCCTCCCTTCTTCCTGGGCTCAACTTCATTCCTGATTTTCTCTACCTCCTACCCCCACGTAGTGCAGGGGGACAGGGAATGGAGGTTGTGGTCAGTTCATGACAAGTCGTCTCTGCTGCTCCTTCCTCCTCAAGGGGAGGACTCCTCACACTCTTCCCCTGCTCCAGCGTGGGGTCCCTCCCACGGGAGACAGTCCTCCACGAACTTCTCCAATGTGGGTCCTTCCCACGGGCTACAGTTCTTCAGGAACTGCTCCAGTGTGGGTCCCTTCCATGGGGTGCGGTTGTTCAGGAACAGACTGCTCCAGCGTGGGTCCCCCATGGGGTCACAAGTCCTGCCAGCAAACCTGCTCCAGCGTGGACTCCCCTGTCTCCATGGGTCGACAGGTCCTGCCAGGGGCCTGCTCCAGTGTGGGCTTCCCTCGGGGTCACAGCCTCCTTAGGGCAAATCCACCTGCTCCAGTGTGGGGTCCTCCCCGGGCTGCAGGTGGATCTCTGCTCCACCATGGACCTCCCTGGGCTCCAGCGGCACAGCTGCCTCACCATGGGCTGCACCATGGGCTACAGGGGAATCTATGCTCCGGCGCCTGCAGCACCTCCTCCCCCTCCTTCTGCACTGACCTTGGTGTCTGCAGAGTTGTTCCCCTCACACATTCTCACTCCTCTCTCTGGCTGCAGTTGTGCAGATTTCTCTCCGCCCCCCCCACCCTCTTCTTAAATATGTTATCACAGAGGTGCTACCACTGTTGCTGATAGGCTTGGCCTTGGCCAGCAGCGGGTCCATCTTGGAGCTGGCTGGCATTGGCTCTATTGGACATAGGGGAAGTTTCTAGCAGGTTCTCACAGCAGCCACCCCTGTAGTCCACCCCACACTCCCAAAACCTTGCCAAGCAAACTCAGTACAATAGTGTTAGTTTTGCAGTTATTTGTAGCTGGGTGTATTCATCCCTTTTCTTTTAATTGCAGATTTTGTAAAGATAATTTTGACCGAGACTACAAGGCTACCATTGGAGTGGATTTTGAAATTGAACGTTTTGAAATAATTGGAATACCATATAATCTCCAGATGTAAGTTGAAACAGTGTGGTTAAGTATTGCACGGAGTACAATCTCAGCAGAGCTTGAATTGCTGCAGGCTCTAGTGGAATAAAGATTTTTAAAAAATAATAAAATTGCACAAGGAATAATTGATCTGAAAACCAGGTTGTGTACCTGGACTTGCAGTTTCAGTAAAAATTTTACTCTCTTGGATTTCTTATCCCTAAAAAAATGTTATAAATTTGCCAATGAAAATTCATCTTGGATGTCTTGCACCATTTCAGTGGAGTTCTGCCTTTTGAAGTCAAGTTTCTCGAAAGAGAAATGGAAGTTTTGACACAGTTTCGCCAGTTCTACTGTTACACCATTTTGTCATTTGAGTTTAGTGGGCACAATGAGCACTGAACTTGGCTTTACTGGGAGTTTTATTTCTGCAGCCATTGAAATTAATGGTAAGGTGTCCAGTGATTTCATCATCTCTTAGCTAGGCACTAACTGATTTTCCCCAAATCATAGAAAGACTTGAGTGTCTTTATTAGAATGTGAACCTAAAAACTTTGATTTTCAGCTTTGTTTATCAGACTAGTGGGGATCCTGGCCTTCTCTCACCTGCTTTGCTTCTGCTGAAGGATGTCCTTTGCTATTTCCAGTGGCTAGCAATATTGTCTGTAGAGGGCATTATTCAATAATCTATGCTGTAGCATGACCTAGAGCAGAAATAAGATGCTTTGCATGAAGTATTTTAGTGCATGAATCTTAAAAACCTTTTTGCTTAGGAACACATTTTTTTCTGAGATATCATTGGTGTAAATAGATGGCTAGTGGGGTTTATTGAAAATTACTTAGAAATCCATTTCCCACTGATTTCAGTGCCACTGTGTTTTTGAAATTTCTGCTAGGCACTATCCTTTTGGAACTTGAGTCCCTCTAAAAATGTGGACTGATGCATCTAGTATTTTGCCAGCTGAAGCAATAAGGTTCATGAGCTACTAAACGTCAGGTTGCATTACCTGCAGAATCTTCAGTGGCTGGGTAGAACATTTCCATGGGATAAGCACTAGTGCCCCCTCTTGCTGAAAGATTTCCATGCAAGATAAATTTGCAAGTATCTGTGACTGGCAGTACTAGGCTGTAACAAAAACCCAAACATCTGTAGTGCTGGCAGTAGCTAAGGCTGCATATCATGTTCAGCAATAAGAAACACTTTCTTGATTTTCTTTAATTGTGTCCTTAGTACATGGTGGACTGAGCTATAGGTCTCCAATTTGTAGAGTATGGACAGATACCATATCTAGCAGTTGCAAGATTCTAGTAGGGGCTAATATATGATTTAGCACAGAAAATTTTCAAAATTAGATTGCCCTAGAAATACATGCAAATGACATAGATGAGGGAAAAAAATGTTTTAAGAAAAGGGTATTACCATACAGATATGAATGTTTGAGTTGTGTCTTCAAAATGACCAGTATTTAAAAAAAAAAAAAAAATTAAAAGCAGTGTTCAAATGGCTTCATTAAATAATAGAGCTTTACTGTATTTCTGTCACTAGTTAATGAATAACATGTTCCAGATGGTAACACTTCTCTGGTATCACATTCTTCTCCAACTTGTACCAGTCTGCTGCTTCATTAGCATGTTTACTCAGGTTACACTGGGTTTCATTAACCTGAAATTTCTTTTTTCCCCCCATTGCACAGATGGGACACAGCAGGTCAGGAAAAGTTCAAGTGCATTGCATCTGCTTACTACCGAGGAGCAGAGGGTGAGAACAATATTAATTTGATCCTGGCTGTGACAGGAGGTTGTACTTTATACAGAAACATATATGCATATGTGCTGCTTGGAAATGTGCCTGTAGACACAGTGTGGTGGAATGGATTGTCCGTTATTGGAGAGAAGAAGGGACTAAAAAGCTCATTAAGTGATATGTTGTCACACCTGCAAGCTCTGAATGTTCTGATGATGCAGTGATAAAAAATGGCACTTGTGTCTAGGGGAAAAAGAATTTGGGTTTGAGTAAGATTATTGCTGAAGTTAGATGTGGATACTTCTGGCATTCCCTTTGGTAAGAGACAATTTCTGCAGGAATTAAAGTGGTCCCAAAATAAAAGGAGTAATAGCACTATAGGCTGCAGACTACCGGTAGAGACTAAATAAGGTTGGGGACTGAGGACTTCTCTCTTACTGGGTGCTAGAGAAGGAAGAGGAATAAGCAAATGGATAGTCTCCCTTCTCCTCTGTGTTAAATCTGCTCTTGCACTTCATATGTAAACATTCTCTCTGTTTAACAAGATGAGTTGGAGAGACTTCTGATGCACTTTTTAACTTAATTGCTTTTTTTTTCTGTTCTTGTCTTTTATTGCAGTTATAATAACGGTGTTTGATTTGGCTGATATCCAGACTTTGGATCACACCAAGTAAGTTTCTGTATTTTGGCTTACCCTTTAAAGCTTTTACAGCAGGTTTAATTGTCTTGGATAGCCTGTAGTTGCTGAGAACTTGCCGGATCATGAGTATGTTTTCTGTTGAGCTAAGAAATGAAGAATGACAGTCACTTGTTTGGATTACATAGGGTGGGATTTTTCTGAAGAAAATGCAGAGCATAAATTTGAACTACTTACCCTTTACTTCCTTTGTAGTCAGTGGAGAGGAAAAGGCACTTCAGTAAGAGCTTGATCCTTCCAAAACTAGGCATGCAGCAAGAGATGAAGTGCACCCCAGAAGTATCCTTTTTTTTTTTCTCCATTTGCTATGAGCAGGATAACAGGCTAGCATCTGATGTAATGATGAAATTGATGAGATGCATCTCATGCATAAACTCTCAAGAGCCTCTCATTTTCTACGTGTACTGCTAGCCTGAAATGATTTTCTTTCTCTAGTTTCTGTAGTGATTCTGTTGGGAGATGTCAAAAAGAGGAGAGAAAATTAAAAACTCGAAGTATATATAGGTATAGCTAAACTTCCTGGTTCAGATACTTGTAATGGTTTGGTTACAACAGCATACTAATTGTTATAAGTAAACTTGTTCTGCTTTTAGTGCAGGCTGCAAAACCCTACATGGATCTATGATCCACATTGTTGTCACCAGCTCAGAGCGTATATATTTCTAACATACTGTTGTGACTGTAATGCAGGTACATGTTTCTTTACAACCTGTAGTCTGTCTTATTTGAATGTGTATTAGACTATTTCCTTAGACTACTGCTGTGGTACTTAGCTCATTTACATAGGACTTTGTAAAATAATATATATATTAGTATCTCTGCTTGGCTGAAAATAATTGAAGCCTGTGAACCTGATTTCCCACACATGCACACACTCCTTTCCCTCTTTGACTTGTGTTGGATGACTCAGGAGGAACTTGATTGCCACAGTAACAAAAATATAAAAGCTTATGAGACAAGAATCATGCAGCCTTCATAGGGAGCTGTTTTATAATGCTGAATAGATTATTTCACTCTTCTTTATTCCCGTTTGTATCCAATCTGCTATGTTGTTCATATCTTTTCCTCTGCTTCTTGTTTTCTTATTCCTTATCTCAGTCAAAACTTTGACCCCTGCCTTATACTGATAAATACACTCTCTGGGTGCTAAAATCATTATTGAATTTGCACTCTACAGGGGGAATATTTGAACTTTTCATTAGTGGAAGGCATGTATTCAAAGGAGTTGGCATAGCACCTGGTCTCCTTCTGTCTAGAAAAAAAGGCTTTTGACACTCTCACATAAGTTCATCCTCTCACTTCTCTTGTGACCCTATTATCTGTCACTTTTTCCTATATTCCTCAGTCCCTCTGACTGATTCTATCATTTCTCTTTTGTATTTCAGACAGTGGCTAGAAGATGCATTGAGGGAGAATGAGCCACATTCCAGCTTCATCTTTCTAGTTGGAACAAAAAAAGATTTGGTGGTAAGTAAATTGAATGCAGATGAGGAAATCGGATTTCCCATAGTTCCTCAAGTGATTTCCCTTACAAGCTGTACATAATGTTGCTGAGATAAAGACCTTGAGGGAAAAACCTAAACAGAAAGAAAGATCATCACTGGTAAATAGAACAGCATACTCGGAACCAATTTAAGAAGATGCTTTCTGCAGAAATGGGTAGTTAGTGAAATATCCCTGTTTCCATTCCTTGCATGACACTTTTCAAGCACGTACAGACAACTGAAAAGGAAAAGTTGGGTGCACAAAAGAATAGAGTACCTAATGATCTTGAAGGTTTTCTTGGGTTTTTTTTTGTTTTGGTTTGGGTTGATTTGGTTTTTTTAGGGACAGTGTGTTCATTATTCAGGAACAGGGAATAATTCTTACTTAATTGAATGTGACACCGTTTTCAGACAAACAGGGTATAATGCACTCACCCTATACCATTCTGAGTCTTGTGTTTGTCTTTCTTTAGCTATCAATACTTAATTCTCAAAGATTTTAAAAAAAATTTGCTGCTTCTGCTGTTCAGTTGATTTTTTTTATTTCCCACCCCCCCCAGCTTCCACAGTATCACTTATGCAGTTTGTTTCTTACCCTTCACTGAAAATAAGTCCCAAAAAACTGCATGTCTGTTTTTTCTAGTACTTTGTGTTGCTTATGCTGCTTTTTCTGAGTTGCAGTAAAAGCTAAACGTGCCAGACCTCTGAGGATGCAGATCTGAAGTCTTGTCTAAGCTAGAATTCCTTAGTTTCTGTTTTTAGAACGATAGCACTTTCAGCTGGGAGACGAGCAAAGCAAAGGATTGTGGGTTCTAGGTATTACTTCAGTATGAAGCCAGTATCTTCCCAACTGGATTCACTCTACTTCTCATCTTGATGTCACATCATCCTTTCCAGATTTTTAGAATTCTTCTCAATTGTGCAGGGGCTCCGCATTGTAAGACAGTGCACAGAAAACTGTACAAACAAAGACTACTGGTATCATCCATCACAAATGGGCTAGAAATTGAAAGCAAATAGCAACATACTGATATGGTTGATCACAGAGAACAAATGAGAGGGGAAAAAGACCTGAAAATTAAGTGCGAGAAAGCAAAATCCATTGAAGGGGCAAGAAATGTTAAGTCTTAAGAAAAAGAGCAAAAATAAAAACCAGGGAAGGCCATTGTGTTGCAACATAGTAAAACTAGATGGAGTAGAAAAAAGGATCTGAGACAGAGACAAGAAACATTAATCCCAAAGAACCATTGTGATTAGTTGGTTCTGCAACTTTTCTGCTGAGAATGATGGGGTGACAAGAATTTAGAGACCAGTAACTGGGCTGTTGTCTTTGTAGCTCCCTGCAACACTAGATACAATGGTCACACTTGTTAACTGCTGTTTTGTTTCAATGCTGTGGGAGGTGAATGGAGACTTCCATTTTAAAAGCAGTACCAAGTATGTGAATATTCCTGCAATCATGTCTGATTGCACAAGTTCTAAGGCAAGGCCAGAAAGGCCACTGTGAAAACAGGAAGCATCACAGCATAGGTGCTAGCAGTACCTCTATGTTATTACCAGCCCAGATACACTTCTTATGTTAAAGTTATTCTATGTTATTTACTCAGTCAGATGCTGTGTGTGAAAGGACAGAGCTAGATGCCATCCGCTTTGCCAATGAGATGCAGGCAGAATACTGGTCCGTTTCAGCCAAAACAGGTAAGCTACTGCAAAGGATGTAAAAATAGCATAACCACAAAGGCTTATGTTAAGGTGGGAGGAAATTAAAGTTCCATATCCCCTCATTCCCATGCAGGTTTTTTTGTTGTTCTTGCATTTTGTTGCTATTGGAAACTTCAGGTTTATTAATGGTTCCATTTTTTTGAGCATTTGTATGTGCGCTTGCACTATCATGTTTACAGGAAGGAGTATTTGAGCTGCTGTGCAATGTTTAAGCATGTTTAATTCATAGCTAGTTACATAAATAGACATGTGTGCTGCTACTCAGCATTAGCAATGAAAAAAAGATTATACGTTGCTGACTAAAAATAAAGGTACAGTACAGAGTACAGTATTCCAGAGTAAGAAAATGAGAAATTCTCTCTGCAGGGATCAGAATGGAGGACAGATTTTTGGAGACGCCTGTTCTGTCCCAGTACTGAGCAGTGATCTGTTTACAGATACACTTGTTAGGCTTGATCATGTGTTGATGTGCAGTTGTAAAAAAATGATTATTTCTGTCCTGTTTCCTAGGGGAAAATGTCAAAGAGTTCTTTTCCCGAGTTGCTGCCTTGGCCTTTGAACAGTCCATGATAAAGGAGCTGGAGAAAACTGCTGGGCACATGGCCCAAATTGGGGCAGGAAACCTCATCAGTATGTTAAGTTTTGCTTTTTGTGTGTATTATTTTCCTTGTTTACAGTCTGAAGGATTGGGGAGTTTTTTCAAGCATTAAAGCCTGTCTCCAACACCTGCAAGCATATTCATGTCAGTGTCTACCTGAGTTCTAGCATATAGGAGTGACTGGGGCTGCATTTAGCCTTTGTTACCCTTAGCATTGGATGGTATAATTTCTTGTGAACTAATTTTATAACTTTTTGGTTTCTATAGAACTGGAAAAGAACATGATGGAAGTCCCAGAAGGCAACGCTCAAGTCAGCCTGAGCTGCTGCTAACTGTCAACTGTTTCTGCAAGCGTCATGCTTCTTTGAAGTCCAGCATAGAGCACCTGCAACAATGAAAGCTTTCAAACAAGAAATAGAAAGCTCTATTTTTGGAAATGAGGGAGGAAAAACTTACCCAAACTTCCTTTCTGAGAGTTCCCTTGCTGCTGCAGGCTCACTTGTGCAGGATGGTACAACTGTTACATAAATCTTTCTCTGTGTAGTGGAAACATAACATCCTTGTCTTAATGCAAGAAGACATTGCCATGTGCCATGTGCTCACCTGTCTGCCAGAAACACTTGTAGTCAAAAGTTATGTAACTTTAGTATGTTGTTCTTTGATAATTCTCTAGAAGTCTTAGATAGTGAAGTCATGTTCTCATGGGAGCAGAAAACAAATGGCAGTTCAGAATAAAGGGTGCTATCCATATGTTTTTGCCTTTTAAGATCATAGTATAAAATAACTCTGACTTGCTTTTATGTATTCCAAAAATTTTAAAATTGTTCCAAAAGAAATCTTTTTAAGTAACAGGTATGGAAGTACACAAATGCAGACTGTGTAGTTTTCACTGTGGTTTCTCCATCCAGGAAAAATCTGTATTATTTTTCATTTTCCACTTGAGAATCAGAGCCCAGTATTTAAATATTTCCAAGTCTAGGAGCAGTCCAGGTAGGAACTTTGTTGTTTTATCCCAGATGTCTAATATTTTGAAAATGCTACCAGATAAGAATGCGATTCTTTTCCACTCTCTTGAGTAAGAAAGAATAGTCACATAGGTACATGGCATAGAAAAATCAGATTTCATGAATTCCACCTTCCAAAGAGAAGAATCCAGAATCCTTCTCTGGATTGATCTTCATGAATATTGTCTACACTGCAGTTATACTTCGTTGCTAAGAGTAATGACATTTTCATTTTATTCTGAGTTGTTTTGTTTGTAGTAGTGTAACATGATTCTGGAACCATATGCAGTCTCAGCCATGAACTCATTCATCGCTGTCTGTGGTAGGAACTCTGAGCTGGTAAGGTTAGATTTGACGCTGCTGCTAAACTCTTAGTCACTCTATCTGCTTTTACTGGTCAAGATAATTTGATCACTAGATGCTGGGAGCAATTTGCTCCACTGCTTAATAGAAACAGTAATAGTAGAGAAACAGTTTTGCCAATTTGTGAAAAGGCTTGCAAGTGTATGGGGGCTTAGAGGGATGAGAAAAGATGGAGTTTGCCAAGGTACACATATGCTTGTTAAGCCCTAACGTACTTGCCGTATGAAGATGTCATTACTGAATGCTTAACGTAGAACCTGCTCTCTGGACATGTTGCTGTGACTTGGTGTGCTGGCTGGATCAAAAAACCATTGCCCCAGTTTTGCCTTTTCAAATACCCTTTGACATAACCTGGTACAATTTGTTCTTTAGAAATTATACTCATTGTTTAATGGGGAGAGCTTAGCTCTGGGTACAACTGAATTTCATCGAAGTAAAGCGGCTTTACAATGCTCTTCTGCATTTTGGGCAACAATGACTGATGCCAAAAGATACTCTTGTTTTAAAAGTCATTCCTGTTGCACAATGACATTGCAAGAAATTTGAATGACAAATAATGTTGCCATAAATTACTATAACGGATATTTTGTCAGTATTTGTGAAATGGTATTAGTATGATTGATTATAATAATTAGGTTTAATCTGCAAAAGTACAAAAGAAGTGAAAGGGAAATACTGGAAAAATTAAAGGGAAATAAAATGAGTGTATCTCACTGAATTCTAGTATTCACTTATGAGTATCTAGTTAGTGGTGTTTCTCAAAAGATAAACCAGATGCTGTAAATCTTTTGCTTGCGCTAAGCTGTACAAATTTATGGTCCTTCAAAATTACTATAAGCACTCAAATGAAAGAATTAAGAAAGTAATCAAAGTGGGACAACAGAAAGACTGCTTGTCTAGAAATCTAGCAGCAGCTTATAACTCCATACTTCTAAGATTTAAATCCAGCATTACATGCTATGCTGGCATTAAAAAAAGAAGTGAAACATCTTCTGTAATGGTCTGAATTTCATATTGCAACTATTTTAAATGGAGAGAAAGAAGGAAACCTATGGACAGTTACAAGTTACAGTTTCTTAAGATACTCATTTAATCATTACAGAAACAACAGTACCTGGAAAACATTATAACAGGACCTTTCAGATTTGAGCTGCTGAGTAAAGACAGACATTTGTTAATAAATCTATGCATCACACTGAAAATATTCTAGATTTTCTGCCATTTTTCCCCGCAAGTTGTTTGATAAGAAATAGGAAAAAGGGGAGAAAAGGTGACTTAAACATCCTTTTTATTACTTGTATTTTCTTATGACGTTAAGTTAGAGCAGCTTCATAGAATATGATGAATAGAGATCTAGGAACTCTGTGTCTTTTTTTATCAGACAATCTTCACTTTGGCAATTGTGCTGATTCTGTTGGCAAAGACACAAATGTAGCATTTGGTGGAGAAAATGAGTGTGTGGGGGTATGTAAGGAGTTATTTATCCCAATGTGTAATATTTTGACCTTATGACATTCTATGTATTTCATGGAATCATAGAATCATTTAAGTTGGAAAAGACCTTTAAGATCATCCAGTCCAACCATTAACCTAACACTACCAAGTTCACTACTAAACCAATTAAGGGTAGAGTAATAATTTCATGTTTCAGTTTGTTCATCTCTGAAATCTGTTTCACAAGGATGATGAATATACGCTCCACTTGTACTATGTGCTGCACTGAGTGGGCAGCATAGCCATGGTCTTCATGTTTACTGAGTTTGAATGCAAGTAGAAAAGATGGTTCACTCTGCTGCAGTAAATCATGTTGTCTAGGCTAGGTGCTAGGTTTCCGTGCAGACTTGTCAGTGTTTACAGCTGCAGAATGACTCAGTAACAAATCTAAGAAAAGATCAGGATTCCAGGATTACCCCCCCCCCAAAAAAAAAAATATATCTCCTAAGTGTTTCTTTCCTTGCTGAGTGTAATTATTGTACAAAAATCACAGAGATGCAATCTCTTCAACAATGCAATTGCGTTACTTGGAAAATCAACTGGGACAGTTTTTTCTAGTGATTCAGTACATTGCCTGATGTCATTACTAGTTTGTGTCTTCTGGAGCTCCAAAAACTTCATGTGCAAATGCAATACTCTGTCAGTCATTAACCCTCACTTGACAATGGTCTGACTCCATCTATTCTATGATGGATGCTTTGAGGCTGCGGTTTTTTTGGTTGGTGGGTTTTTTGTTTGGTGTTTTTTGGTTGGTTGGTTGGTTTTGGGGGGTGGTTTTTAGCCCCACTGAGATTTCCCCTGCAAAGAACTCAGTATTAATAATTGATCATCTAAAATGAATCTTGGATCATGTTGCAAATGATGAATTGCTCAGGAAAGCACAAAGGAAACTAACTTTGGTGGAAAAAATAGAGGTAAATTTGCAAGTTCTTAAATGTTTCTATGTGGTCTATGTTTTATCTATGCATGTTAATCCATCCTATCAGCAACTTAATTGGCTTTGAAGAAGCCTTAATATTGTGGAAAACAGTGTTGGAATGACTGTATTAACTCTAAACATAGGTAGACTAAAACACAATTTTTATACCAGTTGAAGTACTCACAGCAGTCATGGCAACAGTTGCAGTGCCAGCTTCCTTGTGGTATTTGCAGCTGAGAAATTGAGAAATGAAATTTGGAGGCAGTCTGAAACAAAGTTAAAGAGCAATTGTAATAATCAATTTCCCAAAAGAAGTACTCATGTTATGCTGTTTCTTGTCTTAATAAGTAGAAGGTAATGTGTTAATGAGTTTCTGTTTAAATAAGTATGCATATCTCTGAGCAATACAACTGGTAATGGGTCAAAAGAACAAACTGTCACCTGAAGGGCAAAGTTCATTTCTTACCATACAAGCCTTTCCTTTTAATTTTTAATGATGTTATTTCTGCCTTTTGAGTGATTATTTGACACTTAGGATATTATTACTGATATTCTTATAGGTCATGTGATTCAGATCTTTCTGAATCCTGTTGGTTCCCAGCTCAGGCTTGTCTTGTCATGGTATGACCAGAGTCCATTCTTCATGAATAAATCTGTCCCCCTCTGTGTCTTTTCAGGTTTTCATCAATAGTTAGAGGTTGTTCTAGGGAGTACAATATAATGCACCGGTGAGTGAATGCTATAAACTCCTCTCTGTATTGCATCCCCTGAGCATGAGAGTTAAAACGAAGTGTTGGGCAAGTTGAAGTTGTAACAGAATCTGCATTTGGCAGTGGAGGTAGTTGATCAGTTTCTTGTATTTTTGGCCAGAAGGTTGTTTTCACAGCAAGAAATTGCCATCCTCTGAATTCTAAGAAAGGGATTTCCCATTTTTCTGGATTCATAGAATGATTTAGACTGGATGGGACTTCTCAAGACTTACCGGCCTCCTCAAACTACCACGGAGTGCTGCTTTGTGCTACAACAATATGCTTTCCTAGTTTCAGCCACAGATTAATCAGAAATAATTTTTTATTTCTCTTTAAAAAGACTCTGCTTATGTGCTATCTTTCTTTCTTTCTTTCTTTCTTTCTTTCTTACAAACCCTCTGATTCTCTCGCGTGGGATCATGCTGAAGAAACCGTTCAGAACTGACAGCTCAGGAGCTTCCAAGACTAAGCCGACTGGCTCCTTTTTCCCACAAGAGGGAGCGCTGTGGTCGCGGTAGTACCAGTTCTGCTTCGACTGAGAAGGGCTTTGCAATCTCTAGCAGGCCGGCAGAGGGTATGTGCTGGACGCTCTGTCTGTAGTTTAGCCCCCTCATGACAGGATTCTCAGTCTCAAATCTCAGGTATGGGTCTGCCACCATAGGCTTAATGAAATTTTGTATCGTATTAAAAAAATATTCTGTTGAATGCATAAAGTATCAGCAAAAATTCAGAGATGCCTTCAATTCCCACTGGATTTTCTGATGTTGTAGTACCTCAATAGATAAAGAGAGTGCAGGTGTTTA